ATTTTTTTTGCCAAGTGTAAACTGTAGAGTCCTGACCTGTACCTGAGTGTAAACTGTAGAGTCCTGACCTGTAGATGAGTGTAAACTGTAGAGTCCTGACCTGTAGATGAGTGTAAACTGTAGAGTCCTGGCCTGTAGATGAGTGTAAGCTGTAGAGTCCTTGCCTATAGATGAGTGTAAACTCTAGAGTCCTGACCTGTAGATTAGTGTAAACTGTAGAGTCCTGACCTGTAGATTAGTGTAAACTGTAGAGTCCTGACCTGTAGATGAGTGTAAACTGCAGAGTCCTGGCCCCTAGATGAGTGCAAACTGCAGTGTCCTGGCCTGTAGATAAGTGTAAACTGCAGAGTCCTGGCCTGTAGATGAGTGTAAACTGCAGTATCCTGACCCGACGAAGTAGCTCGTCTGTGCTGGTTCATTCTTTTGAACAGTGGCTGTTWTGTTTCCCCAATTTATGACTGATCACAGTCCTCCTGACACTTAACAGCATATACCGGGGATATTCAACTAAACTGCTCTGGGGGCCACAGTTACTGCCAGTCAACAMRTGAGGGGCCGAACATCCAGCAATGAAAGTTATCATGTAAATAAACCAATTATTACAAATATCTGTTACCTTTGAATTAGTTTATTTTGCTGCATTTAATCATGAGTACAACATACAAAGCCCCATAAAGATAGTGATAATTAAACATCACCAAAAACAAAAGTAACACATTCTGCCTCCTATTTAATACAAATAATATTTTGACATCTCTGACTTGCCAAAATTTTAAACAAATTTTATTTTCGCTTTCATAATTCTATCTTCAACTGCTTGTAATTTTAGTGCTTCAACTGCTTGTAGGTCTTGAGTGTTTATAGAAARGTTTTTACCAGCTTCTAGCCAAGATTCTGATGTTTCTGTAGATACCAAATATTTCTATGTTTAACTAAAAGAACTTAGAGTAATTAAAGTAGAAAACTGGGGGTTTGGACTTAAGAGATGAATGAACCAATTGGCGGGCCGAACTTTGGTCACTTGCGTGCCACATCTGGCCCGCGGGCCACCAACTGAATAGCCCTGGCATATACTACGTATATTACTCTGTTTTTGCCAGGGAACTGGATCTTTGGGGTGAACCAGCCTTTGCCGTAATGTGTTTTGGGGTTTGAAAGCTACTGGGACATCATGTTTAGAAAATAAACGTCTCAGTTTCTCCGAAACACCCGCAACATACGGAATAACCACTGGTTTGGGTCTGGGTTTYGGGTCTTCATTTTCACCTGAAGGTTGCATGGAATCCTGTCTGTGTTTCCTGTCTGCTTTCAGGAAAGCCCAGTCAGGATAACCACACTGCTCCAGGGCCTGTCGTGTGTGTGATTTCTCTTTCTGCCTGGCTCCTGGGTTTGTAGGGACACTGTCTGCTCTGTGGTACAGAGTCCTGATCACTCCTAACTTGTGTTCCAGTGGGTGGTGGGAGTCAAAACGCAAATATTGGTCTGTGTGGGTGGGCTTACGATACACGCCAGTTTCCAACCGTCCTCCATCTGAAACCGAGACATCGCAATCCAGGAACGCCAACCTGCCATTTTTTACATCCTCTCATGTGAACTTAATATTCATCCACAGAGTTGATGTGATCATCCATCCATCCATCCATCCATTTTCTGTACACGCTTCTTCCTTTTCAGGGTTGCGTGGGTCACTGGTGCCCATTTCCAGCAGTCACAGTGCGAGGGGCGGGGTTACACCTGGACAGGTCTCAGTCCATCACAGAGACACACATAGAGACAAACGAGACAAACAACCATTCACTTTCTCACTCACACCTAGGGACAGTTAAGAGTTATCAATTAAACTAACAATCATGTTTTTGGTCTGTGGGAGGAAGTCGGAGTACCCGGAGAGAACCCACGCATGCACGGAGAGAACATGCAAACTCTACCCAGAAAGGTCCCCGGACCGGGATTTGAACCAGTGACCTTCTTGCTTAGAGGCATCAGCTCTACCATCCGAGCCACCGTGCCGCCTATGATGATCAGTGAAATTTAAATAAAGAACCCATCCAGAGGACATACAGTACTTATTTTTTTTATATTTTATTTTTCTACCTGGATTACTGAGATGCAACAGGACATTAACAATGACTGGTCCATTCGTTTTATGGCTACCACCAATTCCCAGAGCTGAATATGACATGGTCACTGTGTTTATTGTCACCACTGTGTTTTCATTGAGTTTCACTATCTAACAAACTGTGTTGTGTCAGAGAACACAGCTGGCACTCCCAGGTTTCACCCTGACTGATGATTAACCAGCCCATTGATAACAGCTGCAACAAACCATACAGGAATGATCTGCAGCGTCCTAGGATTTCTTATGGCAGAAAGTAGATCATAGGAAAAGTAATTTACTGCACTGTTAGTTTAGTAGTTTTAAGTTTTTTTTTTATTATATATTTTCATATGGTACTTGCACTCAATCACACATTTGCTTAATGTCAGATTTCCTGAGACACTCTTTTGACTGTTAAAGATAGAGATTTTTTAAACATATATTGTAACATGAGAAGAAGGAGACACAATCCAACTGCAAATCAGTTGACTTCATTCCTTCAGTGCCAAAACCAGAATGTTAGCACAGAGCAACACACAACAATGGGGCTCAAGAACACGCTCCCTAAAGCCCCCAAAGCCTGATGGGTGAGAGACACCTAATCAATATGTACACCACACTGTAAAKTGATCGAGGGCCAGGCCTATCTCATGTATACTTTATTAACACAGCATTAGTATTATCTCACAGCCAGAAGAACAGACTGACGTAAACCACACACACGTGTCGTAAAGCACCTTCCTGTCGTAAAACCTCCCAGCTCCACCCAGGTCCAAAGAAGCAGATGTTGAAAGCACATTTTCAGCGCGTTCAGCTGGTGTTGTTGGTGGAGTAGTCTGAACAGGAAGATGCTTCAGGTCATGGA